ACTCTCTCTCTCCCGCTCGCACTCTCTCTCTCCCTCTCCCACTCTCTGTCTCCCTCTCACACTCTCTCTCTCCCTCTCCCACTCTCTGTCTCCCTCTCACACTCTCTCTCTCCCTCTCACACTCTCTCTCTCCCACTCGCACTCTCTCTCTCTCCCGCTCGCACTCTCTCTCACTCCCGCTCGCACTCTCTTTCTCTCTATCTATCTCTCGCACTCTCTCTTTCTCTCTCTCTCACTACCTCTTGCACTCTCTCTTCCTTTCTCTCTCTCTACATCTTGCACTCTCTCCTCTCTCTCTCCTGCTCACACTCTCTCTTTCTCTCTCTGTCCCTCTCGCACTCTCCCTTTCTCTCTCTTTCTCTCTTGCACTCTCTCTTTCTCTCTCGCACTCTCTCTTTCTCTCTCTCTCCCTACCTCACGCACCCTCCCTTTCTCTCTCTCTCTATCTCGTGCATTCTCTCTCTCTCCACCTCTCGCACTCTCTCTGTCTCCCCACCTCTTGCACTCTCTCTGTCTCCCCACCTCTTGCACTCTCTCTCTCCGTCCGCCTCTCGCACTCTCTCTCTCCACCTTGCGCGGTCTCTCACCAACGGTGTTCCACAGGGATCGGTGCTGGGTCCACTGTTGTTAATCATTTATATAAACCATTCGGATGAGGATACAGGGGGCACGGTTAGTAAGTTTGCAGATGGCACCAGGATCGGGGGCGTAGTGGGCAGTGAGGAAGGTTTCTCTAAGATTACACAGGGATCTCGATCCATTGGGTCAACGGGCCGAGGAGGGGCAGACGGAGTTTAATTCGGATAAACGCGAGGTGTCGCTAAAACAAACAAGGGGCAGGACTTATACAATGAAAAGTAGGGCCTTGGGGTGGTGTTGTAGAACAGAGAGACCGAGGGGGCTCAGGGACATAATCCTTTGAACTAAGCGTCACAGGTAGACAGGGTGGGGAAGGAGGCGTTTGGCGCGCTCGCCTTCATCGCTCAGACCCTTTGAGTGTAGGAGCTGGGGACGTCACGTTGAGGTTGTACAGGGACGTTGGTGAGG